GAGTTGTTGCCATTTTAAAACAGAGCAGGAATCCAAAACTATACCAATGAGGCTTCTGCAGAAATTCAGTTCCTGCTTCCCAATCAGGTAAATCTCTCCTTAAATAATTCACAATTCTACTCAATCATTGCTGGCCTCCTGAAATTGTTCATTTTTTTTTTTTTTGTTCAGAAACTTTCCGGAGATGAAAACATGGGGAAGAATTTGTTAGAAAAAAAGCATCACGGCATCAAAAGTTTTGTTGGGATTAGCCTATCCATTTCAGTGCATGTCAGAGTTTTATTTATTACTTCATCTTCACTAGGAATTTCTTTCTCCTTCCACTTCTGGGTTAACCCTAGAGATGAAAAATAAGGATGAATTGGAAGATTACATAATTTGGAATAGATTTTACCATTGGTGGGGACAGAAAGGAAGGACCTAAGATGGAAAAGAGTTATTGAGAAGATATCCGAGATTAAAATAACACTAAGGATGTTGGAGGATGTAATTTAAAGATGAATAAATGTGTGTGTGTGTGTGTGTATGAACAAATGTACATAAAATCTATATTATACTTACACTACAATGATGACCAAAAGTTATGTCAAAATGATTCCACCATGTTCAATGTTTTTAAATATTATGTTTAATTAAAAAAAATTAAAAAACCAATAAAAAAGTTTTGTTGGGAAAAATAACACACAGTGAGCAGTGTAGTCCTTATTAATTAAGGAGGAACAAATCGTAATAGCTTGTATCCATTTAGCCTTCGTTTCAACGGATATAGTGGAGAAAATGGAAATTATAAGACAATTTTTAAACATTTGTCGTTGGTCAGAGGTGATCTAAAATGAATGTTGTTTGAGACACATTGAAAAGTCTTTTCTTTGCTTATGAGCTGCTGGCGTACTGGAGTGAATGAGTTTTGATTTAATCAAGGAAGATAGCTTTTAATTATTTTAATTATATAAAAAATGTTATTTTATCCCCCTGCAATTTTCCCCCCAAATAATTTTTTTCCTCTCTTTGCAAACTGGCAAAGATGCTGGCTTTGAAATTTTGTTCAAAAGTAATAAAAGACATAACATTAATAGAGCAAGTGACATGTTAAACAATTCTTTAAATACCGATGCTTTAAAACGCTTCAGATTTTAAATAGAAAGAGTGCCTATTTAGTATTTAGAAATGTATGAGGAGGAGAAGGACAAAATAGTACATCACCATAATAAAATATTAAATACAGCCTTGTCTTCTGGGTTAGCATGAATCTATGAGTTGAATCCAGATTTAAGGGCATGCAATTGGGCTCAGTAAAATAGATTTCTAAAAATTCTCTCTTTTCTATAACAGACATCCAGTTTCCCCAAATGCTACAGAGAAAAATGTGGAATTCAAAAAAAAAAAAAGATAATAGAGAAATAATATTTATAGAGCAAATGGTATATTAAACACAAATCATTTTTAAAGTGCTTCAGGTTTTAAACATACCTCCACAAAACAGTGTCTGCTTAAATATTTGGAAACGATTGTTGAAGATGAAGTTGAACGATGATTATAATAGGTTAGATATGGCTTCGTCTTTCCAGTTAATATGATTTTTTTTAGTGGAATCCAGATTTAAGCGCACGCCGTTGGAGTCAGTAGAACAGATTTCTTTTTTGTAAAAAAAAGTTTCTTGTGTACAACAGAGTTCTCATTCCCCAAAACACTGCAGAGAAAAATGTAGAATTTCCTCATTAATTGTTTGGGCTGTGGTACAAAGATAAAATTGAGGGAAGCATCTGGCGCGCCCATATAAGCTTAATAAGGAAATAAATATTAAAAACCGCTCTGTCAGTGCAAAAGTCTGAAAATCAGAATAGAAGAAGCAACATTTTCGGGAGGGTCGATGGGGATGAGATCAGTGCTCAGGCTATTGGGGGGGGGGAATTCTTGTACCCCCATGGGAGAGACATCTGGGCAGAGACTCAGAATTTTGATGACCGCAACATTCTAAGCCCTCCCCTTCCTGGTCACATGACCCAGAGGGGGCCATGTTTTCTATACAGACAACTTCTGGGCCTATAGTAGAGGCTTGCACAGACTGTGTTGGTGGGAGTGGTTTGGTGGTCCCTTGATTGGGCTGTTGTTTACTGTCAGTAAGCCACTAGAATGGGTCCCCAACCTCTGGGCCACGGGCCACTACCGGGACGTGGCCTATTTGCAACTGGACCGTGTGAACGGCAGGCCAGTGCAGCGTGCATGCGCAATTCAACGTACATGATTGCCGAGCCGGTGCGCACATGCACCTATGCACAGATCGACTTCAAGTCCAGCTGCGTGCGCATGTGCATGTGCTCTGGCCCACTGCTTGTGTCCAGGGGTAGGCTGCTGGGGGTTAGTCAGGGGTTCGGGAGAGCCCCTAGCTAAGATTCTGGGCAGTTTGGAGAACCCCCAAATCCCACTCCTGGCTGGCCCCGCCTACCCCTCCTCTCCCCTCCCAGGAGTCCCCAGGCCACCCATTTTGGATGCAGGTAAGTGCAGGGTATGTGCGGAAGCTCAGGGAAGGTGAAAATGGGCCTCTCAGAAGTTCGGGAAGCCTGGAAATGGGCCCATTTCTGGCTTCCAGAGAGACTCCGGAGCCCGGGGAGGCCGTTTTTACCCTCCCAGAGGCTCAAGGAAAGCCTCCGAAGCCCAGGGAGGGCAAAATCGCCCCCCCCCTCCAGGATGCCGGAGGTCAACTAGGCCATGCCCACCATGGCCACACCCACCCGGCAACTGGGCAGAGAATCCTAACCCTAACCTTAACCACTGCACTAGAATATAAAATGAGAGCAAACTCCACTCCTTACTAACACTGATGATTTTACCTAGATGTCGCTTTTACTGTGGTTCAGTGAGAGGGTTCTTGTTTTGAGCTCAGCTCCGGTGGCCTAGAGGTGGAGCTATTGCTTCACAATCAGGAGGCTGTGTGTTCAATCTTAGGTAGAGGCTAATATTTGGAATAGACTCTCCTGCTCAAGCAGGGGGGTGGACTAGATGACCTCCAAGGTCCCTTCCAACTCTGTTGTTCTATGACTCCATGATAGTTTGGTAATAAAATGTCTGCAGTGAAACAGCCGAGATGTAGAGAACACCAAGAGCCCCAGATCAACCTACCACTGTTCTTACTTTAGCCGTTGCCTTTTGGGCGTCAGTTAACATTATTTACAGAAGCTGTGCTTAATACGGAATGTATTTGGACTGCTCTTTGTTTCGAACAAGGAGTGTCAAACTTGATTTGTTGAGGGCCGCATCAAGGTTGTGTTTGACCTCGGGGCTGGGGTGGGTGTGGCTGGGGTGTGTGTGGCCAGCTCGACGTCACTCATGTCGGGGCGCCTGTGGTGGCCCACGCGCTCTGTCAGCGAAAACGGGCTCCCGAGCTCCGTTTTCTGCTGCCACGGCCTCCTGCAACCCTCTGCCAGCAAAAATGGAGCTCTGGAGATCGGCCTGTGGCCCTCCCGAACTCCATTTTCACTGGCAGAGGCACCGTGGGCTGGTCCTTTGCTGTTTCCAGGGTGGCCCCACGGATCCGGCTCACGGGCCTTGAGTTTGACACCCCTGGTTTAGAACTTGTTATTATCTTTATTTTTTAAAAAGAATTATTGGGATTTTTATGGAAGGAAATCAAAAGGATTCAAAAGGGCTGCCCTTCTGTTCAGCCAGCTTTCATTAGATGTGTATTTCAAAAAAAAAAAAAAAAAAGATTTTTGAAACCGTATTTACCCGTGTTTCCCCGAAAATAAGACTCTGTCTTACTTTTTTTTTTTTAGCCACCAAAAAAGGCACCAGGTCTTATTTTGGGGGATGTCATCCTCTGATAACCTCACTTGCATGTATCGTCCCTTGCCTCCTTTTCGCTGTCAGAGGCCTTCAGGAACTATTACTTCTGCAGCTGGCAAGGCTTCTCCTGAAGGCCTCTGCAGCCGATAAGAGAGCTCTGGATTGATCTGGAGCTTTGTTATCAGCTCCAGAGGCCTTCAGGAAAGCCTTGCCATTCTTGCCGGCTGCAGAAGAAATGGGCCAGCAAGGCAGGTGTCGGGGTGTGCAAGGCCTGGCTACAACTGTCCAAAGGTAAATAGTAGGGCAACTCCACCCCTCATCCCCACCCTAGCTTAATTTTCACCTGTCCACTTTGGAGTGGGTGAGATCTTAATTAGGGCTTATTTTTTGGGGGGGTGGGTAGGGCTTATATTGGGCGCAGGAATAAAAATCAAGCTGGGACCAGTGGTGGGATTCAAATTTTTTTACTACCGGTTCTGTGGGTGTGGCTTGGTGGGCGTGGCAGGGGAAGGATACTGTAAAATCTCCAGGCAGAGGTGGTATTTGCCGGTTCTCTGAACTACTCAAAATTTCCGCTACCGGTTCTCCAGAACTGGTCAGAACCTGCTGAATACCACCTCTGGTTGGGACTTAGCTTTTAGGGTAGTAAAAGTATTTTCGGGGAAACGGTAACAATGTCAGCCTTCAAGATTTTCTTTCTTTGCTTTGCATCTTTCGGCTGTCATAAGTAATGGGGGGAGGAGGGGAGACATGATTATGGGAAGCGAGCTGGAGGTTTCAGAAAACAGAACTGTATAAGTTGCAGGGGGAAGTTTCTTGGTTACAGTTCTATCCTATGCTATGCGCAGCTGCAACTCTTTATCAAACTATGTCAAGGTCAACGGACAGAGGCCTCATCACCACCTGGAGATGCCCACATGATGCTATACACAACTTTTAATTGGATGAGCCAATTGAACTATTGGGGGTGGGAACGTTGCCATCACTTTGTATATGTGATTTATGCGCTCATTTTCTCAGATTCAGAATTCTTTTGTTGTTACCACTTGATTTCCAGTAAAAGATATCTTTTCTCTAATTAATGGAGTCTAAGTATTTCTTTCTTAGATTTTGAATGGAGCACCATCTGACATTATTCTGAATCTGAGAAAAGCTCAGCACAGACTTCCCAGTCCATGAGCAAAAAAATAACCTGGCATTGTGCTGGATTTTCCTAGACTGCCTGTGGCATGGAGTTGGAGACCAGCGATCAAGCTGTGGTTATGAGAGATGACAACAAGCGACGCAGGAGGAGGAGGATGAAGCCCTACTGTACAGCCAACACGTTGTCGTCGACAGAACTCATCTCTATCGAGTTTGTTTTCCCCACAACTAGCATCGTACTCGACATCCCCACCAACTGCACGGTGGAGCAGATGAAAACCCAGGTCTGGATGCGGGCAGTGGAAGGCCACCAGACCTCAGACCTCTTCCGCAAGATCACGCCGGATCAATTTCTCCTCCTGTATCAGAAGAAGGGCCAGTGGTACGAAATCTACGACAAGTACCAGATCATACAGACCCTGGATTGTATCTTATATTGGAAAGTCCTGCAGAAGAAAGTGGGCAAGATTCACGTGGTCGAGAAGCCCAATCCCTCCGATGAAGTGCAAGACTTTCAAAATCAGCTCAATTATTTGATTGGCTACGACGTCACTGACGTGAGCAACGTGCATGACGATGAACTCGAGTTTGCCCGCCGTAGGCTGGTCACTCCGCGGACAATTGAAGTCTCCTGCCGTGATCCAAAATTGTATTCCATGTCCCCTTGGACCACATCCAAGCCCCTTCCGGAGTACTTGCTGAGTAGAATTGCCAACAGTAATATTTTTATCAACATCCACAGAGGAACCACCAGCCAGAAGATTAAAGTGGCGGTGGATGATACGCCAGACGTCATCCTCCAGAGCTTCTTCACGAAAATGGCAAAGAAGAAGTCTTTGATGAACATTCCTGAAGACTACAGTGAGCAGGATTTTGTCCTGCGAGTGAGTGGCCGAGATGAGTACATTGTAGGAGAGACACCCATCAAAAACTTCCACTGGATAAGACAATGTCTGAAAAAGGGGGATGAAATCCATCTGGTGCTAGATGAACCACCGGACTCGAACCAAGATGAAGTTCAGAAAGAAGAATGGCCGTTGGTTGACGATTGCACCGGAGTTTCGGGATATCACGAGCAGCTCACCATCCACGGCAAAGACCATGAAAGGGTGTTCACCATATCCTTGTGGGATTGCAACCGTAAGTTCAGGGTCAAGATCATCGGGATTGATATCCCCATCTTACCGAGAAACACGGACCTTACGGTCTTTGTGGAGGCAAACATTCAACACAGCCAACAGCTCCTCTCCCAGAGGAGAACAACCGCTAAGCCGTTTACTGAAGAGGTTCTGTGGAACGTTTGGCTTGAGTTTGACATCAAGATCAAGGACCTTCCAAAAGGAGCGTTGCTCACCCTGCAGATATATTGCGGCAAAACTCCCCTACCATCCACCAAGGGTAACCTCCACCCTCAGGACTCGCCCTCTACCGACCCCAAATACAAAACTCAGCTTCTCTACTACGTCAACCTTTTGGTGATAGACCACCGCTCTCTGCTCAGGACGGGGGACTACGTCCTTCACATGTGGAAAATCCCAGGCAAGGGGGAAGAGCAAGGAAGCATCAATGCGGATAAACTGACCTCGGCCACCAACCCGGATAAAGAAAACTCCATGGCTATTTCGATCGTTTTGGACAAATACTGTCACCCCATCGCCTTGCCGAAACACAAGATTGCATCTGATCCCCCGGAGGGCAGGGCCAGAGTTGAAATGCCAAACCAGCTGCGCAAACAGCTGGAGGAGATCATAGCTACTGATCTGCTCAACCCACTCACCCCTGAAGACAAGGAATTATTGTGGCACTTCAGGTATGAAAGCATAAAGCACCCCAAGGCCTACCCTAAGTTGCTCAGCTCAGTGAAATGGGGAGAGCAGAAACTAGTTACCGAAACTTACCAACTGCTAGCAAAAAGAGAGGCCTGGGACCAGAGCGCTTTGGATGTCGGCTTGCCCATCCAGCTTCTGGATTGCAACTTTTCGGACGAAACTGTGAGAACAATGGCGGTGCAGAAGTTGGAAGGCTTAGAAGACGATGGTGTTCTTCACTACCTCTTGCAGCTGGTGCAGGTAAGCTAGAGGGATGTTTCTAGTGTCTTTAGAAGACTCACTCTTGGTTAGTACTTGGATGGGGGTATTGTGGCCTGTCAGCAGAGCTGGCAGCAGACTTGGACAGTGAGGAGGTTGGGGAGGAACATGGGCCAGTCCTGGAGTCTGGCGAAGGCTCTAAAGACATCTCTGCGTTGGAGGCAGAGATGGGGCCAGGACCATCTGACAGTTATCAGTTGCCTTCGGCGTTGGAGATCAGTGGGGCAGAAGAACAGCTGGAGCCTGTTCCCAATGTGCGCATGCACAGAGCTGCCAGGAGAAGGAAACAGTTAAGGAACAAGGGTCGACTCGGGAGTAAAGGCACAGGTGGATGGTGAATGGCCCCTCCCATAGGGAATAAAGAGGACTGAAAGGGGAGGGGTGTTTGCAGGAGACGATTAGTTCAATTCATTAGTTCAATTCGTTCCTGACTTCTTGCCAAGTAATTGCTGCTACAGTGTGGCATTTGGAAGCTATCAGCCTGGCAACTCTCCAAGCCTGATAAAGGTCTGTAATTGGGAATTCTCTTGAAGGACTGTTGGCCTCTGCTGGAGAGGAATTCACTGTAAATTAAGTCAAAGGGGTTTATCGGGACGAGGACTCGGCTTCGTGGTTTTTGGGCAGCCTAAGACAGAACAGGGAGGCTCTCAGAAGTTGCCAGATCTGATCATCTGGAATTTATTTATTTATTTTTAAAAAAGGGGGAAATAAAAAAAGATAGATGAAGTCAATAGCAAGAAGACACATGAATTTGAACATGTAACTGTTAGGAATCAAGCTTTACTAAAGAGAGACACTGTCTGCTACAGAGAAGTTCCCTGAAGGTGGGCTTCAGCATTAGCCCGAAAGCTCGGAAATCAAAACTTCTGGTTCCATTGACCGACCCAGATTGGATCCTGCAACATTATCCTGGGACACGTCTATTCACCTTGGGCTGTAGAGAACATGCTTAAATAAGAGGCCATTTGCAAATGGGAGTTGCACCTGATCCTGTTAGGTGTTGGGTATGGCCCACATGTGAAATCAGTTTTTATTCCTTGTTACATCTCCCGTATTCGTAATTGGTGTTGTCAAATAGCAACGCCTCTTCTATTGTGTGTCCTTCACAGCAGTGGTGGGATTCACAGTTTTTTACTACTGGTTCTGTGGGCATGGCTTGGTGGGCGTGGCTTGGCTTGGTGGGCGTGGCAGGGGAAGGATACTGCAAAATCTCTATTCCTACCCCACTCCAGGGGAAGGATACTGTAAAATCCCATTCCCACCCCATTAACCTGCTTTCCAGCTCTGTTCTCCTGTCCAGGGCAACCAAAGAAGACCCAGCCAATCAGCTGGGACTCGGGAGGCAGAGAATTGATGGGGGTGGGGCCAGTCAGAGGTGGGATTTGCCGGTTCTCTGAACAACTGAAAATTTCCTCTACTGGTTCTCCAGAACTGGTCAGAACCTGCTGAAGACCACCTCTGCTTCACAGACACTCGAGATACGCTGTGTAAGCCAGTCATTTTAAGAGGGAAAAAAAATATAAGTGTCTAACCCAAACTTGCCTAAAATTCATACAAAATGTGCCACTTGCATCTCTTGGAGTTTAACAGCTATGTAGTCTCTCGAGGCTGAAGCGATGAAGTTTGCACTTTTCTTCAGGCGTTTCGCTGCCCCACGTTCAATCTGCCTGAATTTTTTTGCGCAAAGGTTTTTTTTTAAAAAAAAAAAAACAGGCAGGAAATTAAAAACAAATCCTATTATGTGCTAGCTGGGAGAAATTCCAGATAAGAACCCAAAACTAAAGTAACAGTGTGTTCGTACTTATTTTTCTTTTTTCTCTTATTTCAGGCAGTCAAATTTGAGCCTTACCATGACAGTGCCCTAGCTCGATTTCTTCTAAAGCGCGGTTTGAGGGTAAGTACCAGTATTGGAAAAGATTTAAATCAACGGAGTGTAAATGGAGATTCTCAGTCATTCAGGTCAAGGTTGTCCCAAAGGTGCTTTTTCAAGTAGTGTGTACTGAACCCCAAGAAAACTCCACACTCATTTGCACTACTCAGGTAACCCTGAGGACGCAGATTAAACCTCCAAGTGGCCTCAACAACCCTCTAAAAAGAATGCAAATGACCAGCTGTCTGCAAGGAGTATAAATCCTTCCATTGCCCCACCAATCCAGTCAGAACTGAAGAAGCTTCTTGGATGAGAAACGAAACGTCTTCAAAAGAAAAACCAAAAAAGTCCAGTTGCCTTCTATTGGAAAAAAAAACCTTTGGGACAACCATGACCTGGAGGACGGAGAAACTCTACAGACTTTTAGCTATACAATTTGGGATGAACAACCTTGGAATGGTGTGGGAGTATGAACGGATTTCCAGAAAAATTGCAGACTACAGAAACCATGTGTGCTTCAATTTGAGATGCAGACAACACAGACTCAACAGCCTACATGTGTCTTTAAAAGTGAAGGGACACAGGGCAGAAAACATCCTGCAGCCACGAAGGCTCTAGACCCATTTGTACTATTCAGGTGATCCTGAGAACAGAGCTAAACCTCCACGCGGCCACAGCGGCTCTCTAAAAGGATGCAAATGACCAGCTGTCTGCAAGGAATATAAACCCTTCCATTCCCCCACCATTCAGTCAGAGCTGAAGAAGCTTCTTGGATGAGAAGCGAAACATCTTCAAAAGATAAAAATGAGAAAGTCCAGTGGCCACCTGAAAAAGCACCTTTGGGACATCAGACGGAGTGCAAGGCAGGGCTACGAAAGTCGCTTTGTGAAATCAAAGAGTAGACTTTGATTTTTTCTCATGTTTGACTGAACCGGTAGACCAAACACTGACTTGGTAGTACTAATTCTTGCATGAAGGTCAGTTTGTTTTTCAACTTTAGTTGGGTTGGTCTAGATTAGAACAGTTCCAAGCAGGGATAGGATTCTACCAGTTTGGACCAGTTCGAGCGAACCAGCAGTTCCGGTGATCATTTGGCCCCTCCTCCCCTTCTATTTCTGTTGCTTTATTTCCTTGCTTTGGAGCACAGCTGATTCGCGTGGGAGAGCAGTTTTGCTGCGCCTCAGCTGTTTTACTCACCAAGTAAATTGGGCTCAATTGTCATAAGTGGAGAACTGCTTGTGCTATGTTTCTGATTTACAAAATCAGATCTCTTTTTAAAATAGATTTTAGTTATACTTTTTTTTAAGTAAACATAAAAATTCAATATTTACATGAACTGTGTTGTCTGGGTACAGATATTTTTGAGAAATAATGATAGCAATAATATTCATAGCATTGATAATAATCACATAGTAATAATAATATGTGCTTATCCATACTAATAAACCTTCATTGTATAATTAGTCCTTCTCTTAAACTTTTTCAGTTTCTAATTTTTGTTTCTCTTAGCTTACCATTAGTAAAACGAATCCCATGTTAAAAAAATATTCTGTTTCTTCCTTCTCCTTTATTTTAAGTATTAATCTATCCATCTCTGTGCATTGTTAATATTTTTTATAAACTACACTTTCATCCGTCAGGATCTCTTCATTTTTCCACTGTTGGGCAAAAACAATTCTCGCTGCTGTTTAACGCATGTAAAATTAAATATGTATTCCCTTTTTATTGTATTTTTCTGGTAAAATACCCAACAAGAATATTGTTTTAGATCTAATCTAGTGTCAGGATTCCGGCAGTTGCCCTAATTAAATCGTGAGCCTCGAGCTCAAAAACTTCAAAGGATTTATTAGGAGCGAACATATCGGCATGACCTGTATGAAGCCTATTCTGAGACACGTAATTCACTGTTACCCTTGACCCTGGTTTCCCCACTCCACCCCTCTGGGTGTATCATAATTCATATTCTCCAACAAAACACGTTCATAGCCAAGAGTCATCAATCACGTTCTCTAATTAGAGAGTCCAGTAGCTTAGTTATAATCTTTGCAAGATAAGAATGGAATGCACTTTTGGTTCCAAACTGCTGCAGTGCTCTTTCAAATTTCTCCCCCCTTCCCTTCTGTTCATAGCAACTCTAAAACAGGCATAGAAATGTTTTTCTTTTTTTTACAACAAACACAAACAAACACAAACCAACAAATAAAACCTTCTTTCAATTGTACAGTGTGTCAGCTGGTACATATCTCTTGTGCATAATATCAACCATCTTTTCCTCTTTAAGTTTAGATTAAAATTCATAATGTTAAAAAATCTATCCATATCATATTATCTTATTGTTAAATCATCATTAGACTTTAATTACAAATTTACTTCATCCTTTTCTAGCACATTTTAATTCTTTCCATAGTAATCAGTTATAATATATGATTTCATTGTATTATCTTTACTACTGTATTATATTTATATTATAATACGTTTCATTTCTCTATTTTCCTAGCTAACCATTGATAAAATAAATCCCATATTTTATAATATTCTTCTTCTTCTTGTTCTCTTCTTCTTGCCAATGTCACATCTGCTCATTCCATTATTTTCCTTTATCACCTCCTCTTCTATCGGAATTTTTTTCGCTTTTCCAGTTTTTAGCAAATACAACAGGCATAGAAATGTTTTCTGAGTTGACATTCAGATCTCTTAAGAATCTGTCTGAGATGCTTTACCCTTTCCATGCGTAGAACAAGCGGATCGGACACTTCCTGTTCTGGTTTCTGAGAAGCGAGATTGCTCAATCCATGCACTACCAGCAAAGGTTTGCCGTGATCTTAGAAGCCTATCTGAGAGGTTGTGGCAAAGCAATGCTGAAGGACTTCCTCAGGCAGGTCCAAGTGACAGAGCTGCTGCACAAGGTCACCAGGGAGATCAAGGCCATTTCCGCGGAGAAGTACGATATCACCCCTCAAGGTAAGGGCTGACTTGAGAAGCATCGTTGCAGGGGGAAATGCATTCGCCTTCCGCATTTTTAATCCCTGGCAACGAAGTCCCTGGTATCTTTGCATCACAGTTGTGGTTTCCAGATGAGTTGGTTGCGAACCAGATTAATAAAACCCAAAAAGATACATGTAGAAGGGAATATGGGTAGCTCAGGGTTGAAACGAAGGGCCCTTGGTGCTCTCTGAGCTGGGTGGTTTTCTGCAGACGTTTCGTTACCAAACTAGGTGACTTCATCAGTGCTAGAAAAGAGAAGGGTTTGTGGAATTGGGGAGGAGGAGGAGAAAGAGGAGGGAGAGGACTGTGCGGGGTCCTTGGTGCTCCCTGGTCTTGGTGGGTTTTCTCGCAGACGTTTCATTACCAAACTAGGTAACCCAGTGCTGACGACGTTATGTAGTTTGGTAATGAGATGTCTGCAAGAAAGCCACCGAGTTCAGAGAGCACCAAAGACCCCACAAAAAGTATGCTATACTTACAAATCAAATGAGATGTTGATAATCTTAAGTCATAAGTGAGGCTATCTCCTAGCTAGGTTGGATCAAAATGCTCCATGATGATAGAAGACAGACAGAGCTTGTCTTGAGATATAGGCATTTATCCATTTTTTCCCCATTCTCATTTCCTAGTCATCGCACAGCTCAAACAAAAACTCGAGAGGCTACAGGACAACAAGTTTCCAGAATGTTTTAGAGTTCCCTATGACCCTGGATTGAAAGCAGGAGCACTGATGGTAAATATGATTTTCGTCTCTTTTAGCAAAGTCAGGTGAATGAGGGTCAATGGGATTAGAGCCCAAACAGAGCTCTTAAGACAAAAGGAGGAATAAATTCCTATCTATGCAACAGTACAATGCACATTTTTGTGACTTTGTGAATGTTTAATAGAGCAAAAATTGAGCAAAACATCCATGAGGGTTCAGTGTGATCTTGATATATCCTGGTTGAGTTTCTGCTATTAAATTAGAGAAGTACCCAGCTGGCTGAATGTCTATGGAGATATTCTCTGTCTTTTTAATTTGTTTATAGCAATAGCACTTAGACTTATATACCACTTTATAGCGCTTTACAGCCCTCTCTAAGTGAATTACAGAGTCATCCTATTGCCCCCAACAATCTGGGTCCTCATTTTACCCACCTCAGAAGGATGGAAGGCTAAGTCAACCTTGAGCCTGGTAGGATTTGAACTGCCAAATTGTAGGCAGCCGGCAGTCAGCAAATGTAGCCTGCACCACTGCACCACAGATGCTCCTTATAATATACAATACAAAAATTACAAAAACAAATTGTAGGAAAAATAGGGGAGGGAAAGGGGAAGGGAAGGGTGCAGAAAGGAAAGGAAAAAGAACGAAAAGGCATTAACTTCTGACTCTCTATGGTGCAATAGAATAGGATAGTAACATCAAAGCTCAACTTTTTACTTTTATGTAGTAGTATAAACTAGCCACTTCTATAACAACGAATCTATCAAATCAGTAAAACCCCAAATCAAAGTTTCATTCTTGTCCACTTCAAGCACAAAGTCCAGAAGTGGTTTCCAAGTAGAAACAAAAATATTTGTTTGTGTGTGTGTGTTTTTCTTTGATTAAAGCAGTGGCAAGGTGGGCGTGGCAGAGGAAGGTTACTGTAAAATCCCCATTTTCTCCCCATGCCACTAACCTGCTTTCCAGCTCAGTTCTCCTGGGCAGGGCAACCAAAGAAGACCCAGACGATCAGCTGGGACTCAATGGGAGGCAGAGAAGAGATGGGGGTGGGGCCAGTCAGAGGTGGTATTTGCCGGTTCACCAAACTACTCAAAATTTCCGCTACCGGTTCTCCAGAACCAGTCAGAACCTGCTGAATACCACATCTGAACAGCACTGGAAAAAGTGACTTAAGACCGTTTTTCACAGTTACAACCTTTCCAGCATCCCTTCCACGAACACGTGATCCTAAGTCAGCTTCTTGCCAAGTGGTTCCTCCTTACGACGGTTGCAGGATTTCCCCTGGGGTCGCATGATCTCCTTTTGCCACCTTCTGACGGGCAACGTCAATGGGGAAACCATATTCACTTAACCACCAGGTTCCTAACGTATTCAACTGCAGGGTTTCACTTAGCAACTTGGGCAAGGAATGTGGTAAAAAACAGGGGGAAAAACTCGGTTCAATCTCTTCCCTTAGCAACAGAAATTTTGGGCTCCATCGTAGTCGTAACTCGAGGACTATCTGTAGATGCACGGTCCTGGCCTTTAATCCTGAGATGTCAATTCTGGTGGTGAACAGTGTGTATAAGTGTCCTTCTTACCTCGCAGATCGAAAAATGTAAAGTAATGGCCTCCAAGAAAAAACCTCTGTGGCTAGAATTCAAATGTGCGGATCCAACCTCTCTGTCCAGCGAAACCATTGGCATCATCTTCAAACACGGTGATGATTTGAGACAGGATATGCTCATTTTACAGGTAATATATGTTCTGACCAAGGCTTCCTAGACCGTAATTATGCACAAACTTATTTTACAAACAAGTCTTATTTTATTGCAACGCTAGGAATTGTTTTCATTCCCAGCCGGCAATGAATCTCAAACAGTCCCCTGAGATAAGCACCCACCTTTCTTCCCTCTGAAGTGCTGCCAATAACAGAAGTATCAAATGAACTAGAAAGAAAACCAAGCGAGCTGGGTGACCTTGGGCCAGTCACTGTCTTCCACCCATTGATTAACATAGATTAGAATGGATGTGTCCAGAGGTTGAGCTTAATGATAGAAAGTGCACTTCATCTCTTCAATAATGGTGAAAACAGTCAGGTTCTATATTTAGGCAAGAAAAATCATATGCACAGGTACAATATAGATGGTACTTTGCTCAATAGTAGTAACTGTGAGAGGTGATCTCGGAGTCTTAGTGGAAAACCATTTAAATAGGAGCCAGCCGTGTGCAGCAGCTGCCAAAAAAGCCAATGCAGTTCTAGGCTGCATAAACAGAGGGATAGAATCAAGATCACGTGGTTAATACCACTTTATAATGCCAAACGTGGAATCCTGCATTCAGTTTTGGTCACCATGATGTAAAAAAGATGTGGAGACTCTGGAAAGAGTGCAGAGAAGAGCAACCAAGAGGATTAGGGGACTGGAGGCTAAAACATGAAGAACGATTGCAGGAACTGGGTATGTCTATCAGTTTAATGAAAAGAAGGACTAGGGGAGACATGATAGCAGTCTTCCAATATCTCAGGGGCTGCCCCAAAGAAGAGGGAGTCAAGCTATTGTTCAAAGCACCTGAGGGCAGGACAAGAAGCAATGGGTGGAAACTAATCAAGGAGAGAAGCAACTTAGAACTAAGGAGAAATTTCCTGACAGTGGGAACAATTAATTAGTGGAACAACTTACCTCCAGAAATTGTGAATGCTCCAACACTGGAAGTGTTTAGAAGATGTTGGATAACCCTTTGTCTGAAGTGGTGTAGGGTTTCCTGTCCAAGCAGGGGGTTGGACTAGACCTCCAAGGTCCCTTCCAACTCTCCTATTTTATTCTTCTTGCGTCAGTCCACAAATCTTTTACCTCATGCCCCAAGATGAAGGTGACGGAAACAGCAGAGAAGACAGGAGGTGACAGGATGTTTATGCGTTTTAGCGAACTGGATTTTTTTTTCTTTTTGAATTATTTCTCCACAAGCTGCTTCTGTTATTCGTCTTGTCCAGAGTGTTTGCCAACGTTTATACATAGTATAATTCAGAGCCCAGGGCCTTCCAGATGTTTGGACTGCATCAAACTTAACTCCCTGATCATCCCCATTGATATTTGAGGCTGTCATTTTCATTCCACCTGGGGAAATTGTATTTACTTACTGTATATTTACCCTGTTTCTCCAACAATATGGCCTCCCCCAATAGGAAGTCCTAGCATGTTTTATAGGCATGAAATGAAATTAAGCCCCTCCTCCCAAATTAAGGCCTATATTAAAACATGTGAAATGGGGGGGGAATGGTGGGGGGGCTTGCCGTTAGGAAGTACTTTTGTTGCACACCCAAATATGGTGCTGCCTGCGTTGACCCCAATATGAAGTGCCCCACCAACGCCGAGGTCAACATCCAAGCCATCACTGCTTGCCCACCCGAAGATGCAAGGGGGGGAATTAAGTCACCCCCGAAAAGACGGCCTAGCCATTTTTTCGGGGCTCAAAAAAAAATAAGACCCAGCCTTATTATATGAGAAACACGGTATATTATTTGTTACTTAAGTAAGTTTTTAGTGAGTCCATCAGGTCACTGTCCTGTAATAAAGAATTCAATTTGAAATCACGTATTGAATTCATACAAATGTTTTCTAAGACGATTTCAAAGACAAAAATTGCCCCTTGTCAGACTTGTCCCAGCTTGGGCCTTCAGGAAAGAAAAATCCTTCGCTTCATTCCAGTGATAGGATTCATTTTTTTGTAGTACCGGTTCTGTGGGCGTGGCTTGGTGGGCGTGGCAGGGGAAGGTTACTGCAAAGTCCCCCTTCCCTCCCCACCCCACCCCACTAACCTGCTTTCCAGCTCCGTTCTCCTGTGCAGGGCAACCAAAGAAGACCCAGCCGATCAACTGGGACTCAGTGGGAGGCAGAGAATAGATGGGGGCGGGGCCAGTCATAGTGCTGAAGTGATCATGTGATGGCAGATCTCACAGGCCCCCCCCCTCCCGATGCTTCTTTGCCTTTTCTTTCCATTAGATACTTCGAATCATGGCATCAATATGGGAAGAAGAATCCTTAGATTTGTGTTTATTACCCTATGGATGCATTTCGACAGGGAATAAAATAGGTAATGTATTTGTCCAAAGTAGAACTTTTTTAAAAAAGCACAATTTAATCCACAACTTATAATCATTAATTTAAGGACCATTTGAAGTTACAACGGCACTAAAAAAAAAGTTAACCCTATCAAATTTATCTGCCTTTATCAAATTTCTATCTATCTGTCTATCAAATTTCTCTCTCTCTCTCTCTCTCTCTTCTTTATCTCTCTGTCTCTCTCTCTCTCTCTACCTACCTACCTACCTTATCTATCTAATCTATCTCCTGTCCTATGTCTATCATCTATCTAAATTTACCTATCTATATATCTATATCTGTCTGTCTGTCTGTCTATCTATCTATCTATCTATCTATCTATCTATCTATCTATCTATCTATCTATCATCTATCTATCATCCATCTCCTGTCCTATGTCTGTCTATCATCTATCTATCTGTCTGTCTCTCTCTCTCTTTATCCTATGTCTGTCTATCATCTATCTATATTTACCTATCTACATCTATCCAAATTTATCTATCTATCCATCCATCCTGTCCTATGCCTGACTGCCTGCCTGCCTGCCTATTGCTATCTCTATTGATCTATCGTTTAAACTTCTTATTCTGCTCACCTATAAGGTGACTCAGTACTTAGAGATAGTCTAGACAAGAATGACCAGCCAGGAGTAGCAACACTACCTTTATTAGGAGGTTAGAGTAATTAGAAACTTGCAAAGTCTGAACGTGCCCCTCCTGTCCCTCACTTTTATACTTTTCCTCAAACTACAGGTCTACCTGTAGTCCTGACCTATTTTCACATCTTAGTCCGGTCTATTTTTATAAAACTGACAGTAGCAGATCTGGATATGAGGAAGAAGAGAAAGAAATATATGGTTCTTCCATCCTGGAATGATGCTGTTGGTTCAAGCCTTGCTTTGTTTTCTTTTTAAACAGGAATGATTGAAATCGTAAAGGATGCTAATACAATTGCCAAAATCCAACAAAGCACAGTTGGGAACACTGGAGCCTTTAAAGATGAAACATTAAACCAGTGGCTTAAGGATAAGTGTGTAATTGAAGAAAAGGTGCGTGTTCCTATTACTGCTATTGCTATTATTTCTGTTTGAAAATGTATTCTTTCTTTTTAAGCCATTATGGGTATGTCAGAGGTGTCCAACCTTGGCAACTGTAAGATGTATGGACTTCAACTCCCAGAATTCCCCAACCAGCATAAGACGAGTAGCTGCAACTTGGAAAGAAAAATGACAGTGTCATACCCTGGTTGGAGTCTGAATCCGAGGAGGAAGCCGGACAGCTGACAGGGAGTGGGAGTGTGGCTTTGTTGGCTGTGAAGGAAACTGGGGAAGGGCAAAGTCCAGCTGGGCAGAGCAGGAGAGAGGTAGAACAAGGGAGAGGGAGTTTAGAGGAAGACTCAGCCCCCCCCCCCTCTTCTTCCTAGGGCACGCAGGGAGGAATGGAGAAGAGAGCAACGTGGGTTGCATGGCTTACGGGGGAGGAAAGGGCCCTGATTCCCTTCATTAGCCACAGCTGGGAAGACACTTGATAAGAAAGGCAGGTTGTGTGCGGCAGGCAGCTGGGAGCAAACGTGACTTTATCCTGTGTTGTCGTGGCTTATCTGTGTTCCTGGCGTCTTCCCAACTGTGTGAGTTTTGCCATGCGTTCAAATCTGAAATTCTTGTTCCTGCCCTGCCAAACTAAATACTTCAGTTTGGCTTGTTTGGACTTTAAATTACAGTTTGTGTTGCTTATGTTTTGGACTTGATTTTCTGGAGTCAAAGGCTGTTCCTGGGAGAGTTTTTCTCCAGCCAGAAGGTAACCTGGACATTAGGAGCAAAATTGGAGATAATAAAGGGACTCTTATTGCTTATCTGACTGTGTTGGCTTTGTGCCATGCCCCAGGTTATCACAGGATGTATATAGGAACATTCACTTAAGGAGAGAGAGGGAGGGAAGGCGGGAGAAAGAGTATATGAGTGACTTTTCTTTCTATATGACCACAGTTAGAATATCAAAAACCAGTATCTATATACAGTATTTCACTGCTCTGTATTTGTTTTAGTTCATTTTTTTTAAAGTTTTATTTTCACTGTGCCTTGTGAGTTGATAAACAGTTTCCATTTGCTCTTCTTTTCTTTAGTAAATTCTGGGCCTTTTATGATCATTCGTAAAAACAATCACAACAACCACACATATGCAAGAATGTGAAGGTTGTTGAGTTGCCAGCACCAACTCGATAAGAGGTGTAATCTTGGTTGAAATGACAACCATTGGATTGGATTAATTTGGCACATACACGTAGTCCTCGTATTACGACCCACAATTGAGCCCAAAATTTACATGGCTAAGTGAAACACCCGTTGAGTGAGTTCTTCCCCCCATTTTACAACCTTTCTGGCCACCGTTGCTAAGTGAATCATTGCAGTTATGAAGCTAGTAACCCAGTTGTTAAGTGTATCCAGCTTCTCCCATTGGCTGGTCAGAAGGTCGCAAAAGGGGACCGCACTGCAACCATCATAAACAGGAGCCGGTTGCCGAGCGTCTGAATTTTAATCATGTGAACGTGCCGCAAGGGACGTAAGTAGTGGTGGGATTCTACTGGTTCGGACTGGTTCGAGAGAACTGGATGTTAAATTTGCATCTGGTTCGCCAAACCGATATTTGACCCGACTGGCTAGCCCTGCCCACCCCTCCCCTCCCCTCCCAGGAGTCTCCACGTGGCCCATTTTGGATGCAGGTAAATGCAGGGTCCACGCGAAGGCTCTGGGAGGGTGAAAAATGGGACTTCTGGAAGTCTGGAAATGAGCCTGTTTCTGGCTTCCAGAGGGCCTCCAGAGCCTGGGGCAGGCCGTTTTCATCCTCCTAGAGGCCTGAGGAAAGCCTCCAGACTCTGGGGAAGGCGAAAAATGGTCCTACCGGAACTTTCGGCAGGCCACGCCCATTATGCCCACACCCACCCAGCAACTGGGCAGCGAACTGATTGCTGGGATTTTTGAATCCCACCCCTGATCGTAAGTGTGAAACATAGAGCCGTAGTTCACTTTTTTCAGTGTCGTCGGAACCTCAAACAGCCACCCAACGAACCGTTATAAGCCGAGGCCTCCCTGTCCTGCAGTTTGGCACAGAGCCAATAACCGGAACCCTTTTCTTAACAGTTTCAGTCAGCCGTGGAGCGGTTTGTGTATTCTTGCGCAGGCTATTGTGTGGCAACCTTCGTACTTGGAATAGGAGACAGGCACAACGACAACATTATGATCACAGGATCAGGTGAGTTTTGACTGAATGAGGGACAGCTTTGTTTAGTCCCGTGATGGCGAACCAATGGCATGTGGGCCACAGGGGGCCCACAGAGCCCTCTCTGCGGGCAGGCGAGCCGTCGCCCCAGCTCAGCTCCACCGCGCATGTGCGTGTGCCTCCTGCCAGCCAGCTGACTTTTGGCTCTCTGCTGCGCATGTGCAGGTGGCGAAGCGCATGGGGGAGAAGCATGTGCATGCGCAAGGGTGGGGGTAACGTGGGGGAGGTCGTGTGCACATCGTGGGGGAGGGGGAGTGCGGGGAGGTGCGGCGAGCCCCCCCCCATGATCCCCGTTTTGGGCCTAGTAGGCCTCCCTGAAGCCTCCTGGAAGTAAAAATGGTGTGGGGGACGCACGCCCCGTTTTTGCTCCCAGGAGGCTGCAGGGAGGTTTCCTTCCTTCCTTCCTTCCTTCTCTTCTTTTTCCTGTAAGATGAGCGAAGAGAAGATGGCAGGGAATGCAGCCGTTCGATCATAGAAAAGTAGATTTTGACGAAAGTTGTAAAGGCAAAACAGAAAGATGGAAGAGCCAATAAAGTTTTTATTTTTATTTTTGTAACAAGTCATCCTAATTGATGTGTTTTAATTGTCTGGCGTAATATTGATTCCTCTCCCCCCGTTTTCTTCCCAAGGTAATCTCTTTCATATTGATTTTGGCCATATTCTTGGAAACTACAAAAGTTTCCTTGGAATAAATAAGGAAAGAGTTCCTTTTGTCTTGACACCCGATTTCCTTTTCGTCATGGGGACGTCAGGGAAGAAAACAAGCCTGCGCTTTCAGAATTTTCAGGTAAGCTGGCCACCAAATAAACCTTGGTGATGTCACCCAATAGAAAGTTTAAAATGTGATAATCTCATTCATTGCCGGGAAAAAAAAATTTTTTTTTGAAGAGGTAATTTGTTCCTTAGGCTATCCGTCTGGCAAATTTGCGGGATTCTTTTTTTTCCCCTGCCAGGTATATGCATACATTCAAATTAGACTGGAATGTTTCTCTGGAACATATGTGTGTGTGTGTGTGTGGGAATGTGCATAAGGGTGATCTTTTGAGAGCTGAATTCCAACGAAATTTCATTTTAATGTATGCTGATTGGTGTACATTTAAAGTGACAGTAAAGTTCTGTTCTATTCTATTCTATTCTATTCTATTCTATT